TATATATCATGGTCTTATAGAGTTTTTACTGAAATTCATCTTCATGTTTGAATGAGAAGTTTTTGTGACGTTTGTTATAATTAATTAGAGGATTTACTTGGTATAACAATGGAGTACTTGGTCTTAATGAACATACTAATTAAAATCCTACGGAAACTGGTTCAAATTTGCTTTTAAAAATACTTCGAGTTCGTTCGTTTTCAATTGTAATTGTAATACTTTTGATCACTCATAATTAATAATTTTTTATAATTAAGTCGATTATTTACACTTATAGGGAAGTTCATGTAACTTGCCTCAAGGCAAAATACCATATCAACTAGTTTAATTTTTCATTTATTTCATTCTACTTTTGGAGATATAGGGTGGTGCCTTCTTCAGAAACCCTGAAACTATTTTTTTTTTTGTAAATTAGGGCATCATTAAAAACCCAATTAAACATTGACTAAAAGTTATATTTAAAAATACTTTGAACTATAAGTATTAGTTTACATTTGTGAGTGCGCTTGAATTTTTAATTGAATTAAGTGATTAATTTTTTGAGGATGACAGGAATGTTTTAGTTCAAAAAACTAAAATCATATATCTATATATATATATATTTCTTAAAATAACCATTATAGCATCGTCTTCACGGAAATTTTAAATTAGGATCCATAATTAGTTTCGGCCCGCCATCTATCGTAGAGAAGATACGTTAATATTGAATACATGCAGCCAACTACAATGGCATGACATCGTCTTGAAGTTGTTATGCAGGTTATGTCATACAGTATGAGTTTTCTCTCAAATTCAAAATCGGGTGCATTACCTTATTAAGGATTAATTTAATGAGTAAATGTGCACGAAAACAATAACAAACGCATAAAATAGTAAGAAACCATTATTTAGCGTAAACTTTCATTTCTTCTATATGTCACTCGAATAATGGTCATGTATATTTCTAAGGTTATCTTTGGTTGCACATATATTACTCAATATTAATGATCTCAATAATTACTTCATTGTTGACGTTCTGAATAATTTTAAGATGCTGCAAATTTTGAATTTGACACGTAGGGGATGCATGCGAACTGCTATTTATTCTCATTCTGCATCAACTGCAGCCACTATCATAAAACCCTCATTAGAGAAAAATGAAGCTAATAATGGTGATAGGAAAATTGAAAGTTATCAAAAGAATTCGGGTACTGAGCAACAAGGCAAATACTAAGCAATATCATTGTTTCAAGATTGATACAATTATTTTATATTAACAGGGAGTATGATTGCTGCTGCATTCGCCTCTCTTAATGATGTTGAACAAATGAGTGATAATAAAACCTCTACAAAAGAAATTCCACTTAATTCCAAGCCTATGAGAACGTTTGATAACAAAACTGTTACAGAGAAAATCAAAACTGCAACTTCTGTCAATGAACTTTTAGCAACTACAGAAAAATAATAGTGTATCACGGCAAAACGCACTAAGGGTAATGTCTTTTTGATAAAAATATTATATTAGATTATCAAAGGTTATAAACATTATTTAAAAACTGTATTATATATTTTGAGCTCATGTTATATTTGAAGTTTATCCACTTCTGACACTGTTTGATGAAAATCAAAATGGTTTATATGTACAGATTGTATCAACTCTAGCAGAATGGACAACAACAAATAAAATTAAACTCAATGAGTTCGAGTCTGATCCCAGATTTCTGAAATTATGTCGAGTAATTGGGCGAGCAAACAGTGCAGATTTGACAGATAGAAAGACTACAACCTATACTCGAGATGATTTAAACACTCTATTAGAAGTTACAGGGGATGATGAAGCTGCAAAATTAATTGCAACTATAAGTTTACCTCAGATGATCAAGGTAAAGATGAGAATATTGAAATAAATATCTTAATGAGTTATTCATTTTATGAATGTACTGACATGTTACATAAGAATTAATGTGAAGCATTACTCCCAAGGACATATATATATATATATAATATATATATATATATAATATATATATATATATATATTAACAAAGTCTAGTAATCGGGCATAATATCAATAAAAAACAAAGTTAACAATGCCCGATTACTAGACTTTGTTAATACATATGTCAACATCAAATTCAGAATCATACAATATATATATATATATATATATATATATATATATATATTATTATTATTATTATTATTATTATTATTATTATTACTATTTTAGGTAATGTCTACATTGGCCCAGCAGAAAAAAAGAAGCAAGCCTTTACTGCATGCTTTGGCATACAATATAACTCGTAATACTGATGCTTTAGATTTAAAGCAATGTGCTGACATTTTATATTCGATATCTGTATTAAATTATCCTGATCATGTACTTCTGAGCAGAGTTTGCTCAGATATTTCAGCAGGCCTGAATAACAACAAAGATAAATCAGCAGTCGTGGGCTCAATATTGACTTCATTTGGTCTTTTAAAATATAAGGACACCGGTAAAGATAATATAAAATTTGATTGCGAATATAGTAACAATTGTTCTACTAGTAATTTACCTTTTAATCTTTTATTATCTTTGAATTTTGTAGATACTTTAGAGTCTCTGAGTGAGTGGATTCTCAAATACAATGAGATCTGCAGGTCACGTGATATTTCAGTTTTAATAGTAACTTTAGCAGTCTTAAACCACAAACCTACAAATTTTGAACAATTAATGAAGGTAAATTTATTTGATGAATATACACAAATATTTTACTATTAACAAAAACATAATAATAGCACAATAATTTATAATGAAAATTTTACAAAAAGTTAAAGAGAATATATTATTATTGCAGACATTACTGCCGCACCTAACACATGCAGATCATCCAAATCCTACAGAGTGGCTTAATGTGGTTTGGTCTTTAGTTTGTTTAGACAAGTGTCCCATAGATAAAATAGAATATGTATTTAGTGATAGTTTCTATAATTTACTAAATGTTAAAAGTATGTATATTAAGCATCATTTCTATTTTAGATTTACTTAACAAAATATGTGAATTATTTACTATCTTATAGATGATTTAACATACTCTGCCAAAATGAAACTTCTGAACATCAAGGCAGCAGCTGATATATTGATGCCCGATAAGATAGAGGCTAAAATAGATATTGACAAAATTAAAGTACAGCATAAGTACTCAAATAGTAAACAAATCATGATAAACTCTGTTTTGGATGCACTGAAAAGCTTATTTGCTTCTGAACAATATTTAAGGTCTATGATAAATACTGACATGGGATTTTTGATAGGTAATTAGATTGTGAAATTACTTGAAATTGAAGTTATACTATACTATATTATAATACTATACTTCATCAGATGCCGAATGCGTTTTGGACAAAAATTGTAATCCATTGCCGCTAACAAGTAACAACAGTTCTGGAATCAGGTATATTTCTTTCAAATAAATGATGATTTATTGACAAGTTGCACATTGGCTTTAGAGCCATGTAATGTGCTATAAACAAATTATCTTTGTAAAACTATTTTGGAGCTTAACGTTAATTATTGTCACTTTATCATACAGGATAGCTATGCAAGTTCTAGATTATCACGATATGTGTCAAAACCTTCAAGAACCTCATGGAGCAGTAGCTTTGAGCAGAAGATTACTAGAAGCTCGTGGTTATAAAGTATTATGTGTACCATATACAGAATATCAACCTAGTGATAAATTAATTAAGAGGGTGCAATATCTTGAAAGTAAACTTAAACAAATAGTGAATTCTGCAAAGCAAGTATAATGTCTAATTTAAAATATGTATTATACAAACGATGTAAGTTATTATATATTATTGTGAATAATCTTTTGACAAAATTGATTGAACATAATATATTGATATATTTAAAGATCAGGTTTTGAATGTTTTATTTTTTATTGTTAGTGATTTAACATTGAAAATTGTTTCAATATATCTATATGTATTGCTATTTACAGTTCAATATTTACAAGTAGACTGAGTTAATTTAATCGGTGGTATACAGATAACTACTTCTAATACATAACTGTGCTTCAATGTTTAATGTGGCAATAGAAATATAAATCATAGAAGTGTATATATATATATATATATATATATATATATATATATATATATATATATATTAGTGTGGTTCTTGATATGGATATTTTTGAATTGCTCTCAGGTGATCAAATGGTTCCAAATCTATAAAGAAAAATATTCTCAAAAGCATTAGCTCTTAGTATTAACTTTAAGATAGTCTACACTCTAATCAAAGTCCTATGGATATAACATGGAAATAATTTCATTTGGTAATTAGAATTTTATAACTCAGCGACAAATCACACATATTCATCAAAATTTTGAGAATAACATTGTATTTGCTACTAATTTTGATTATAAATAAAAATTTTACAACAGAAATTTGATATAATTTATAAATTATGTATTTACATTTATATATAATAAAATACATTTACATTTATATATTATAAAATAATTACACTTTGAGTTCGAATGACTCTTAAGCCAATAGATTTAACCAGAAATTATAAGAAACTTTTTTTGGAAAGCGTCAAGTTCTCAATATAACATGATACGAATTGTTATTTTCATTTGTTTGTTGTTGAGTTATAAAATTCTGAAGAACAAATGGAATTTTTCTATGTTATTTGCATAAGAAACTTTGGTTGGAGTGTAGACTATCTTAAAGTTAATATCAAGATAAAACTTTAAGAATTTTTTTTTCATCAATTTGGAAGCGATTGAGCCTCTGGGAGCAAAGATATTCAAAAATATTCATATTAAGGATCGCCCTAATATATATTTTGATGAGTTATTTTCATTCGGGCAGTTACACCAAGTAAAAAAAACTAAAGCAGTTGAAAAAAAGTGTTTTTTAACCATACGTTTCAGTTTGGTCAGGACCCTCATTCAGTGGAACAAAGAGAATTAATTACACAAAAATACACTATACTTTTACACAGTATTAAACCAAGCTATTAGTAATTGGAACATTTAAAACTAAATAATTTATTTATTTATTTATTTATTTATTTATTCATAAGCAAGCCGTAATCAATAATAATAGATATTATTTCAGGCTAATAACATATATATATGTTGACAATTTTTTTTGTTACACTCTAGTATGTACATAGTTATTTGCGTCTAAATACTGAATTTTCTGAATTACTGAAGTTTCAGTATTTAGTTATCACTAAATGATGGTCTCGACGAAGACCGAAACATTTGGTTAAATAAAGATTTTTTACAACTGCTTTAGTTCTTTTACTAGGCGTTACTGCCCGAATCAAAATAACTCATCAAATTATTATATATCAACATCAAATTGAGATACTTTAATATATATATATATATATATATATATATATATATATATATATATATATAATAAATATATGCAATTAAATTTTATCATGATTATATTCGTGTTATGATTAGTTTCCAACACTTAAAATAACAAAATATGTTCTAAGGAGACTGACTTGTTACTATCTGCAATTGTATTTCATGAGTCAAAATTGTTGTAAACACTTCAAAATATAAACATCAACTGAGCCATTGTACTAAGTGATGTACAAGACAAATGATATGAACCAAAATTGCTACCACCATTAGAAGACAAAATTTTTCTTACTACCAAACTGTGAGTAACAAATAAGAAAAACTTTAACTCCTGCCAAGTTTGTAGTTGCCTTAGTTTAGGCAAACTTACAGCTATATTCACATTGTGCAGCTAACCTTCAACATGAAAAAATATTGAGGAATGAATCATTTACAGGACATCAAATCCATTACTTAAAGTTGTGATATGAGCAACTACAAGGCTGCGATGTATGTATGTGATTCAATTCATCATATCAAACTTATTCTAATCATGTGATTTACTTACATCAAATATTGTTATTGATGTGAGCTTCTTATGGACACAAAACAAAAACTGTACACTACTACGTTATGATACATCCACAATACTTATTTCACTTTACCTGAGCATCCTTTATAAAAAATCTTAAATCCGATTTTATTAGACAAGCGCTATCAACATTTGTTAATAGTTTAGATATTAATATTTAATGCGTATTACAATATTTATAAAAATATATAAAGAATAGATAATTCTACTTCTAGCAATAGAACTTGACTCAATATATCAAATTTACATAAATGCAAAAGCTATATTTTATGTAGGATCACTATGTATTTCTAACTAGAATCTAGTTTTATTATATTACTAACATCTTATATATCAATTTGTTCTTCAAATACTTTAATTGATTTTGTAAAAAAATATTTGTGAATCCACCCACAATAATCTTTGCAGTGTACTAGTAAAAATAAATAAAACTAATCTATGCTCAATATCAAAATCTATACATTATATAATAAAACTATTAAAATACATGTACATAATTACAATATATTAACAATCTAAGGTAAAATATTCTTAATAATAATATAAAACAAAAATACAAACCAAAGCCATCCTATCCGGGTGGAAGACAGAATACATCATGTATATTATTTGAAGACCATCAGACTTTGATTTTCTAGATCATATTTACTACACACTGCAAATATTACATCTTCAATATATCATATCACACATCAATATTCTATTTTTCAGTTCCCACTGAATTATTACACCAATTCAATCTCTTATGAACTATCGACGAATTTTATATATTACAAAACAGACTCAATTTGTTTAATTTCTCGTGGGGATGAATTGTTTCTTGGTAAGGTTTCTTCTGGTTGCCCCATAGGACTGGGACATGTTTCTACAATTCGTGGGACCATTGTTATTGGATCATCCTCATCTTCCTCCTCTTCATCTTCATCGATTGGTGTTAGTACTTCAGGATACATTGGTTGATCTTGTGGTTTCACGCATCTGAAGGAAATTGTTTTAATACAATGCTTGTTTTTGTGATAATATTTATTAACTTCCCGTAGGGTAGTTATAGTAATGGGCCGAAAATCGAAAATGAATTTTTTTGCAATTCTCCATGTTTTGAAGGTTTCTGAACATTTTGGCATACCTCAAAAAAAATGGATGTCTGTGTGTGTACGCATTTTTTCGTTCACGTTTTCGGGCGCACGGATCAACCGATTTGAATGATTAAAAAAACATTTAAGTTGTAATGATCGGGAGAAGTGAGGATTAGTTTTTGGCGAAGGCAGGTTCAGCCATTTAGAAGATACAGAGCTAAATGTACAAAAAATGGCAGTTTTTGAGAGAAATAAGCACCTGATTAGAATGATTCAAAAAACTTTTTGCTTGTATTAGCGAAATAATTGCTTTTGGAAAAAAAAATTTTCATTCCAATTTTTTTTTGTATTTTGTTTTTTTTGAATATCGAAAATAATTGAGATTTCAATAATAATTCTGGTTGAAGTTCTAAAGCTCATTTATATACTTTAAGTGAATAATTTTAACTTTGTAATTCAGTTTATATAATTCTCATAAATATTTGATATTACAGAATTTATAAGAATCTGTTAAATGTTTTCATTTAATATTCCTCGAACATTTCGTTACGGTATACGGAAGGCACGAGGCCATACATAATGCTAGAATCTTACAAAACTCTGACTAAAAATTAGTAATGAGAAATCCTCCGTATATATGAGTGTATTAAAGTCTAATAGGAATCATTTATTACCTTTTCATAGCAGGAGCCATAAAGCTTGTTATAGTTGAGATCGCAAAAAATGCGCCTGCCATGTAAAACGGAATCGAATATGAATTTGTTGCGTCATATACAGCACCAGCCAAAGGAGATCCAATTATGGCAGCTGCACCTCTAAACAATATTAGCAAACCAAAAGCATTTGTTAATTTATCAAGGCCCAATAGATCTACCAGTATAATAGACGTCAATGATATGTAGCCAGCTAAAAAGAAATATAAAATTAATATCCAACGGTATTAAGATTTTTAGGTCATTAAAATGAATCATACGTACAAATTGCAACGCCGAAGAATACGGACATAATTATATACGCGGTATAAGTATGGCACAATGGAGTAGCTGCAACTGCTAAAGTAGAAATTACAAGGCATATATTGTTGAGCAGTAACGAGTTAACCCATGGAAAATCAGCAACATATCCACAGGCAACACGACCCACAGTATTAGTAATACCAATTATAGACAATAAAAAGGATGCAGAGTTCTGTTCAATTCCCTGTAAAGAACATCAAAAAATGTGAATGAAGCAATATAAAAATCAGGACGTATCTATTTGAATCATATTTTTATATATTTTTGAAAATTTGCTTTCAGAAAATACTCCGAGTTAACGCGTTCGTTCGTTTTCAATTATGTGTAATAAATCCACTCATAATACTTTTAATCATTCGTAAATCAATTAATTTTTTATTGATTAAGTCGATTATTTACACATATCGGAAAGTTCATCTAACTTGCTTCAAGGCAAAATACCAATATCAACTAGTTTTATTTATAAATACATTTTTATTGAAAATGATTGAAGAATCTTAAAATATGCTTCGCGCCTGGTCCGTTCAATAGCGCAACTGGGTGTCTTGCTGTTCCGTATAGCAGTGTCACTCCTGCAGAAAACACTGTCGTAGCGAAAGGGTTGAATACAGTTTGTTTTTGCCAAAGTATCAATAACTAGTACAAAAATGTATTAAAATACTTACATCAAGAACGGCTGCGTCAACGAGGTAAACGAAAGGTACATAGAGTCCAGCCATTCCAAAAACATTAGAAATTCCAATTAGCATAAATACAGGGTCTTTCAGAAGGGAGAAATCCATCATTGTCGCCAAGGCGCTCTTGAAAGATTCCGGGATAACCAAACATGGACATAGATCGTACTCTGTAAAAATTATTGATATATAAATAATGTATATTGCTTGGTATGTTATCAATTATATTGTAGTAATCGATAAAGTACAGTATAGAAAAAAATAGTGCTACAATTTTTAAGAATATTAATTTTACTACATACGTTCAGCCTTTTCGATGTCTCGTCCATCTCTCATATCCCTAGCGTATCTCGGCAAAGACACCACCGAATTACGATAGTTCGTCAAAGACTTCTGCGACTGGTACTCTGGAAGATTTACCACAGAACCTGAGTAAAATATATCCTTTCGAGACATCGGACGCACGATCTGTGGTCGTTCCCTCGCCAATGATGTTTTTGAGGTAAACATACTAGCAGTTTCATCCTAGATATAATATCTCATATATTAATCTGAAACGAATGATCTAACACGTTGTTTAACTCATATTGATAAGTTTGGTTCCCATTGAATTTGAAACCACATATAGCAAACAAATGTAAGAAATCACATATTATGACACCAAAATAGAACAAAGACAATAAAATTATACGGCCATAGTAGGAAACGCGGCATAATATGATACATGTAACAAATAGATTGACCAATATTGATTTCGATCTGCTTTTATATGGAAAAGCGAACGACTTTAAGGGGGTATTCTACTGTAGAGGAATGAATTTCGCCCGGTTTTTGAAGCGCTGTATAAAGGAAACAAATAATATTTTTACTATCGATTTTTTTATCATTTGTTTATTATATAAAAAATTTGTTATTATTATATAAAAAAATTAAAATTCACAAAGTTATGAGCAATAAAAGTGGGGGCTCAAAAAAAAGAGGGTGTCCTGGCGTGCATGATTCCAACCCTCCTGGCGATCCGAAATATAAAAAATAGATGGATTCTTAATTATTATAGATGCCGCTATCGTATGACCCTTGGATAAGTTAAAAAAAATTTTTTTGTTTAAATGGCGGCAGTTTGAAAAAAAAATTTTTTTTCATGTTTTTTTAACAATTCCGAATTTTTTAAAAATACTAAATGAAAAGTTATAGTTTTGGGCAGGGTCCACGCGATAAAGTGATGTATAGAGAAGATCCTCTCCAAAGTTGAAGTAAATCGGTTCATTAGAACTCGAGATATCCTACCCGCCAGCTCGAAAAAAGTAGTTCCGAGAAAAACGCGTTCAAGGTTTTGAGACAAGTCGGACCCGAACCGAGGCCACGTCACTAAAACGGGAAATAATAGTAATTTTAAAAAATCTTTTTAATGACATATTTTGAATAACCAAACTTTGAAAATATGAAAAAAAATTTTTTTCGATTTTTTCAAAATTCTACAGTAGACTAACACCCCCTTAAGAAGACTAACATTGTATGATAAAATCAAGAACATTTCTGTAGACTCAACTTCATTATACGTTAAAAAAAAACATAATGAAAATTTTAAATTAAAACTTTTTTACAAATGCCTTCTGACATTCATATTCAAGATGTGCATTTGTTAAGGACCGATGCACATAAAAACGTTACACTGTGAAACCAACATATTCAGATGGGCATTAAATAACATCCATGAGAATTTTTTAAAAGAAAGTTTTCTATTGCAGCATATACAACGCATTTATGTGTATCGGTCCTAAAAATACGTGATACTTGCATAATCATCACTGTTGTTATTTCGGCTCCCCATCATCATAGAAGATGTGGACAATCTCAGATTCATGCTCTTCCTGACATCGCCATTGCTGTTGACATTCCCTCTCGAGTTAGACCTGATCGCAGCCAGAGACGGCTTGAAGCGCTCGCCCTGAGAAATCTTTCTTATCCTGTCGAAAGTAGGCACCGATCCATTCTTGGGCAAGCCTTGGTGATGGGTTGTGAAAGCAGGCTGGGATGCATTCCTCGGCATTGCTCCGGCCCTCGTGGTCGGGAACTCTTGATCGCCGGCCTGGGTGGTAAACACTTCACACGTCACTCAATTATATCACCAGACGTGTACTGCAGCAGAGACAAGCAAATGATCTGCGTTACGGATAGATGAGCATGATGCGAATGACGGAGCGAACCATTTTCGGTTGATGGAGCGCACTCAGGAATTTTCGGACCTAAAGAGTATCGAGACAAAATCGAGTGGTCAAATAAAATGTGCCAGTTTTTGTTCCTTATAAAACAGAGCTGGTTGAGATCTCTTGACCTGCTGGATAACGTTCTTAGTGCAAAGGTATATTAGATTCACATTAATTGATTGATAAGGACTATCTATAAACGCCAATTTGATATGTCAAAGCTGGAATAGAGTATCTTTATATCTTTGAAATTTTTTGTTCTCAATGCTCGACACTAAATTACCGGTAAAATTCCTGAATGCGCGTTAAGCCATCCCCGGTTCAAGTGACCCGTTAGATGAACTTGATTGCATGTTGGTGAATCTGATCAAATTGCAATAGATTCACATATATAACCACGTATAAATGATTCAAAATCATGCTATTTCAATGAAATTTAGAAAGTATAGGATGATTAAATTGCGATTAACATTTACAATGAAGAACGCCTTGATGTTAAGGGGCACAACTAGTGTGAAATTTTCAAAAAATCCAATTTTCAATTTTTCCATATTTCGATAGGTTATACCATTAAAAATAACATACCAAAATTTTAAATCGATATCTTAAATAGTTTTTGATTCACAGCCATTTAAGGAGTATATATATAGTATATAGTATACCGATCATTTTATCTTTAAACGCGTTTTTCTCGAAACAGCATTTTCCGAATTTGCTGCAGCGATTACTCAAAAACTAATGATCCGATCACTATCAATTTTTTTTTACATGTTCTATATATAGTTCTCCGTAAAATGAACTATCAATTTTTTGATTGAATCAAAAATCGAATTTTGGCAGTCCAAAAACGACCAAAATTTTGGGTAAAATACGACTTTTTTTTAAAAAAACGTTGCATTTTGTCAATTTTTGATTATCTAGTTTAACGCGCAATATTATTTAGTTTAACGAGATTTTTTTTTTTAATTTCATCCACGTAAAAGGCCGGATTCACTGCAGCAGTGAAGGGCCTTTTTTTGTCGCGCCCTTGGAGATCGACGATAACTTAAAAAATATTTAATTTTCTTCTTCAAAAATTTTACTATGTATTCTTTGAAATAATTGATAAAGTAGTTTTTTTATTATAAATTCCTAAAAATCGCCTTTTTTTATGCGGTTACACTAGTTGTGCCCCTTAAGGTATCTTATCCGAGCCAAATCATTATACAACGTGCATCATAAATGAATTCTTTACATTATGGCAATTTATATTTCAAATGACATCTAACATCTTTGATTGAAGCAAATACATAAATTTGGCTTGAAAGATAACCGTGTCCGTTTAAAAATAAATAAAACACAAAATTAATACATGCACCAATAAATCAAAACGGACCTTAGATTCCGTTCTTGCAGGTCTTGTTGAATTCTTAACAGCATCAGTATCTTCTCCCTCGCCACTACCATTGCTCGAGTTTCCAGATGATCCACTTTGTTCTTGCACTTTAGCTTCAGAAATCGTTGGCAACGTGGCCACCGTGTGCAACGTGTTATTCATTGGTGTCCCGGGCATGCCTACCAGTTCGTCCAAATGAAAACTAGAATGAACTCCAGGATCAATGTTGATCGGCATTTTCATGCGTTTTTCCATGCTTCCATCGGGTAGTTGTACCATGAAATAAGAACCGCCAATCGAACCTCGTTCCATTTGGAAACGCTTTTCTTCGGCCATGCGTTGCAACAGCGGCTTCACATTGGATTGCTGGAAAAAATCGATAAAACATCAAATATACTCATTCGTCGATTTAGGAAATAGTAATAAAAAATATTGCTAGTATGGGTGTGAGGTTTAAATATAACTTAAGAGTATCAGACTTAACTTATTAAAGAAGACAGAATTGGTAAACTGATATAGAACGGATGATCTACAGCCTTCAACATTTTATTCACAACAATTAGAAAATAAATAAAAAAAATATCACAAAGCTTTTCGCATAGAGTAATTTTAAAACTCATTATCAAATTCAAATAAGTGGTGCTTTATTTGTTCAAGACAATGCGAAAAGCCGATATATTTAGTTCGACAGCAAATTGAAAGCTTTCAGACGTGAAATCGGTGAAGTGATCTTGAAACTTAACAGGCTAATGAACTTGGAATGATATGATTTAATGGATCAATTGAATCAAAGGGAAATTGTTCGCTGATGCTCATGGAACTTAAATATACAAGTATTGACATAGAGTCGAATGTAATCGAAATATTAATATACCGACCACGTTACAGATTTTCAGGACGAGTTCGAGAGAAATTTGATATTAATAACAGAGCACTATTGACACACATTTTTTTATTTTGGTTATACACAGAATAATAAGTCAAAAATAATATCATGTTAATGTAAAAACAAAAACTAACCCTTTCCATTCGGATGCCGTCGGCGGCATTATACAAATAAATGTTGCAATTCGCGAGTGGAAAGGGTTAATAATACAATTTCTTGTAAGCCTAATTTTTTATACATATGATTCGAATAGAGATCAGAACTTATAGGTCCTATAAGCTATTGTTAGGATTTGAAATAACTAACTAAGTGGAATTTATAGATGGCAACCCATATAGATTTTCATTAGAATTTCTGTAATAAGGATGAATTTTTATTAAGGCAGGTAACATATTGCTCTCTATATTTCCAAGTAAAAATTGATGTCGCTAATGCTTGGGATCAGGCTGACCAAATTGGATGCCGAATCTGGGAGACCTGGTGGTTTACGAGATGATGGAAATCAGGGTTATTATTCCACATAATGTGGCAAATTTATTAATAGCAAATGAATATTTTGAAGTAAAACTTCTTTAGGCGCGACTAGAGAGTACATCTGTGAAAATGTAGCGGAAGTTGCGTTACGCCCGAACTGTTCGTCATTCGTTCTCGGTGAAATCATTTCTATACGGGTCGATTGTGATTAGTCGTCGTGTCGAGTGAATAGAGATCTTTCGTTGTACATCAACGAAGAGATCAGAATGTCATTAGATTTTAAGGTTACATCGTAGTACAAATCTTAATTTAATAAAAATTGCCTGAATTAGAAGAATATTTTACCCTGTCCCCCGTAAATAATTATAATGAAAATAATAAAACAAATGAAACATTACTAGTTTATTGAAATAATTTCTATATTATTCGTAGTTTCTATAAATCTGTAGCGGGTTGCCAACACGCATAGCGGCTTGTCAACACGCATCACATGTTACTGGACAGATTGGCCCATATATTGACAGCACAGAAAAAAAACAAAAATAAATTCAAGTGTCAGATCGTACTTGGTTTTTTTTTTCTCTCTAGTAGTTTTTGCCAAAAAAATGTATAATTCTTGAAACCTTTCTTTTCTATTATAAATAAGAAAATACCAATAACGTTTTATTAATGATCAGTATGACAACACATAGTGTCGTGGATATTAATCATATATAAAATAAACGAAATATAAATAATATTTTATGAAATTTATTATTGTCTATCATTTTGGTATTAATATGGAGGACTACCACACCTCCATAAATCTTTGAAGTTATTAAAATGGAAAATATTTTTGTATGCAAGACAGATATTACAGCTGCTCAAAGCATGAGATTATATCGCCAGCGAAAAAAAAAATACAAGTAGTCAATGAATGTATGTTAATTTTAATAACATGAAGTTCTTCAAACACAATTATATGATGAGTGAAATTGTGAAAACAATAGGAGTTGTTTAACATAATCCACTCTGTGAACGAATATTATATAATTTATTAATTAGCAATTACTTCATTTCTCTATTAAAGGCTCATTTCTAAATGCTAATTACAATGACAAACCGATCATGTCATATTTGAAGTATGACTTTAATTACATTATTGTTTTCGAATATTATAAATATTTTTATTGCTATTATTAATATATAATTTATAATTTATTATTATATAAATATGTTATATGATGTATTTATTTTTTACTTAAATACCATCTCGTACAATAGCAAAAGAGTTGTACTTCAATCGCGTGTGTACACTCTTTTTTTTGCTAACAAGGGGACAAGAAATATTTTTATGTTATTTGTAAAATAGAAATTGAGTGATACTATTGTGAAAAATGTTTTGAATAATAACATTGTGTAGCAATTCTTTAAATCAAAGTTTGTCATCACCAAATTTTAAAAACATTTTTTAAAATACAATTACACTATGCTAATTATAAGCATAGAAATTATATTTAAGCAGCTTATAAATTGTTATATTTGGTTCATTACCAATTTTTGGGACAACCTGATAGAACAAGAATCAATGTAGCTGTACCACTGGCAGTAGTACATACCAGTAGAAACTTACGTTTATGATAACCTAGACAATTTATTATTTTATTACCTTAGGATAAACCAGTGGCCTCATCATAGCTCCGAATACTGCGCAATTGAGGATGAGTCCAGCCAATATGAGATTGGCACCTCTCCAGTCGAAGTGTTCCAGCAACAACGTGGCCAAAGGTGCGAAAGTGAAGGTACCGAAACCGGAACCGCATACCGCAATACCTGTCGCTAAAGAACGTTTCGTCTCGAAGTAATAACCGACGCAAACGACAGCTGGTAAGTAAATCAGACCGAATCCAATGCCTGGAAAAGATAAAAATAATGAATAAATTGGAATCTTAATATTAACTTATTTAGGTATTATAAAAATACTAGATGACCCCGTTGTTTTGCTAAGTAAGGTATATTCTAAACAATTTCTAGAGAATCAAAAATATGAATACTTTGAGTGTATAAGGATGTGTTGTTTGAATGCTATATACAATGAGGTACTATGAAAACAATAATCCCCATTAGTTTGTCTATATTTTGTCAATACAATCAAACTGGAAGTTTTATACACTTTCTATAGAAAACATGGTATAATCCAATCCAAGTCTTTTTTGGTCTTTCGACTTATTGATTACGTTTTAAGTTTTTCAGATTCTTTTTGGATTCTGGATTTTGTGTATAATTGTAAATAATACTACTGAACTTATACAAAATTTTCAAATTTATGCGAGGAGAGATAGAAAATTAATTAAGTATTCTTCTTTGACCTGCTTTTTGAAAAGTTTCAAGTAACATTTAATGAAATAACTTTTATTATGGATTTTCAAAGATTACCATTTATCTCCCGATAGCAGGATCATGAGAATCAAGGTTATAGCTGGTCATACATCTTGTTCCCTCTACTTTCAAATATTGTTGGCGGTGGACCTTTTTAACCCCGGACCTTCATATATTACTATCTATTCTTCGATAAATTCTGGGAAATTATAACTGGGAAAATGTTATTCGACGAAATGTCCCTTTGATCGATACCAAATTTAGGTTCTGAATTTAAATAACATAAATAAAAAATAATATAACCCAGGAAATGTTTTATAAATACCAATGAGTATATAATTATACAGATCCGAGCACCGTGTTTAAGAAAAATATGCAAAAAGTGCATTTTCATATTAATATTTAAAAAAAGTTGATATTTTGAGTCTCTAGTAATACTTGCAATCAGTTTAATAACGTTTTTGCGTATAAATATAAATACGAACAAAACTACTTACTACAATTTAATCATAATTAAATAATATTCATGTAAAACATCCTATTGAACGTAATTGAACATCATCTGTCAAAAACGTTTGACATTTCACGTATTAGCCACCGTCCATTGTTTTATTTAAATTACGCTTCTACAACAATTTTCAAATTAAAAATGTAAAGTTTCTACGCGATTTCGAAATATTATCTCACCTTTCCGACCTTCTCTGGATTGGCACGAATTTTTCAAGACTAAGACTGGCCAAATCGGTTAAGCCGTTTTCGAGTTTTACCGGATCATTTGATCGAGAGCTCCATTTTTATATATAAGATGAAGAACGCCCATATCATGTTTTTTTCTCAATTGCATATTTAGGTGTAAAATTGTATAAAAGTAGATGTTTTTAAGCTTTATTTGTTAGAAATTTTGTTCAGCGTAGTAAAATTTGAAATGTGCGATGATGCATATAGGCACTGCACAATTTTCACAATAGTAAATATTATAGTAAAAGAGGACATTTTTTCTTTCTGGTAAACAAGTCACATATTCTTGATAAGTAGGTACCAATTATACATATTATTGCATTTCGAAAAAAAAACGAACTCGTGAGTCGCATGGCATCGTGCCTTAAGGCAAATTGCTAGAACTTCCCGTACCAAAAACTATTATTTTTTTAAAAGATTAACATTTTTGAAAAAAAATTACTCTGAAAAATTAGATTTTTGAGAAACTATAAATTTTTGACAAAAATTTCCTTTTTTTTAAAAAAGGACTTTTAGAAGAAAAGTGTATTTTGAAATATTTTGGAAATTCTGAACTTTTTTTCAAAGCAATCGTACTGCTTTAACTGCATAGAGACAAAATATCGATGCGCGTAAGCGCCGCGCCGCCGTCTAACGGATAAGCATTGATACGGAACCCATAGGAATGTAAACAAAATTTATACTTATTATTAAAATCTCTATACAAATAAAAATCTGATAATTTGATGTGCATATATCTAATGATCATTTTTGACCGCCAGATGGCATTTTTTTTACTTTTTTTTACTAGATCTCCGAAACCGCTAGACCTGCCTTTATGAAAATTTTAGTTCTTCATCTTGTTAATACAAGTAAAATGTTTTTTGAATTATTCAAATCAGACGCTCCGTTCTCTTAAAAACTGAGTTACCGTTTTTGGAACTTTTTGCCCCATATCTTTGGAACGGCTAGACCTGCCTTTGCCAAAAACTAATCAGCACGTCTCCTTATCAATACGAATCGAATGTTTTTTGAATTATTCAAATCGCTTCATCCGTGTTCCCGAAATCGTCGACGCAAATTTGTATCCGAACACACGCACACACATACACACACATACATCCATTTTTTTAAGGTATACCAAAATATTCAGAAACCTCTGAAACGTAAAGTAAAAGTGAAGGTAAAGATATATAAAAATTTTCATTTTCGATTTTTTTGCGATTACTATAACTTACCCTACGGGAAGTTAAAAAATTAGCATCGTCTGTTATCATTCTCAATGAAGGTAAAATATAAAATTTGGTTAATAAAATTTTGAGCACAATTAAAATTCATAAAAAAAATTCGCTACGTATTTGTCATTTTAGCCTATTTTTTACGTATTTTAACTGACGCAGCAAAAGTTTGTTTCCACCAGAAAAACTGATTTGCTAATTCCATGATTTTTCAACGATTCAAGTGATTCTGAATCGTTTAATATCAAAATTGGATAAAGTGTATATATGAGCCAAAATTTGTTATTCCGTTGATAATTCAAATATTTAAAAATTTTTGCTTTGATTATTTTAATATGCGACGATTAGCCGAGCTGTTTCTTTATAATTAGCACAAAAGTACAAAATTCTTCGAATTCATTTCCGTAAAAAAGCTGAACCGATTTTGAAAATTTGAAAACTGTTAAAAAAATGCCAGTTAGGATCAGTGCTGATTAATTTATTATATATATTGGCTGGGCCATTTCTTTATATTGTAGATGAATTTCAAAATTCTTATTGATTATGTCGATTGTTTACATCTAACGCAAAGTTCATGCAACTTTCCCGAAACAATATACCACTTATATGTATTTCTATTTAGGGTATCACAAACATTGAAAATAGTTCAACATAAACTCTACACCTAAAATAATTGTGAAACTTACTATGTTGCACCATATTATTACTACATGTCAAAAAATAACAGGCAAAACATGTAATACACGATGTTGTATCGTGACTTGCTGAATTACAGAAGAATTCCGAAGTTCTCAAGATGATAGTAGAAGTGTATTATGGTAAATTTTTAATGATATTAAAATAATTTAAATTTTGCTATAATTTTAAATAGAGAGAAATAATTATTTCTCCATTCAATTTTAATTGGATGAAAATGTTATTGAAATCATGATCAAAAATAATGTGGAAAATTTCACGTTAGCGATACCTGTCTTCAGAATAAAGTCAATCAATCAAAATTCATTCAAGTCATATAGATAATTGTAATTTCTTCGAAATTAATTCGTTTGTTATAAAATATCAAATATCGATGTAGGAAATGTTGACAAATGGTACAAAATTAATTTAAAAAATACACCAATTTTTTATACAATTAGGCACTTCTTCAACTTACAATTAGATAGAGACTGAACTTTACATAGATAACAACGGATCTTTACAAAGCCATTTCTTATTGATCTTTACAAATCAGAGCTCTAATCTTATAAAACCTTTCCGGAATCTTCAAAAATATAAAAAGGTTTCAAGATAGAACGTGCTCAAATTTTAAACCTCAAAAAGACAAACTCAGTTTAGGTGTATTTCAATTTCAATGCAATGACAAAAAAATACGAAATATCATGTGGGCGAGGCAGGGTATAGTAAGATATCACGTGCATTTATTTCTTCTCTGAATTAAAAAAAAATCCAAACATTTTTTATGGCAATTTTAAATATCACCACGTATCACCAAGAGGAATGGGGGTCCAAAAATCCTTAAGGGGGTCTTCCTATGTGATGGGTTGAAAAAATCGATTTTTTTTCATAAATTGCTTCCTTAACATGTCTAGAATACGGTAGTAAAGCGATTTTAGAAAATTCGAAGCCGTTTTAAAGATACAGCAGGTAAAAGAAAGAGCGGTTCGGAGCGCTGAGTTGGCAGTTAGAGCCCGGGCCTAATGTGTACCGTATTGTGTATTGTATACCCGGCCTCCCTTTTATTCATATATCCGTTTATACAAAGTTTGTTTAGGAGCAGAGACACAAAATAATAACGAATCTTTGAATTCTTTGATTTGGACTTTCGCTCCTAAACATCTTCATTCTGGTCCCAAAATTGTTGAAATTGCTAGCTACTTAGCAGTTATTATCTTTAATGAAGGTTTTCAAGGTAATTTAAAAGTTATGTCGATTATGGGATGCCCTGTTGGTCGTGAAGCCCAAGCGTATGTTGAAAAACAGGATGAAAAGCGAATCTTACGTTCTGAGCGGCGCGTAAGTGATGTCGTTAAACAAGCCAGGATTGACTCAAGAGCTGAACAATCTGCTTCAAAAGAGTTTCACGAGGAAGAGGAAGGAATACTCTATGGACCAGGCATCGCCGATTGAGAGTAAGTTGATATTTTAATAGTTTTTAAGGGACTTGAAACTTTAAACGCGTTTTTCTCAAAACTGTGTTTTTCAAACTTTCCTCCATTGTATCTCAGAAACGGCTGGACCGAATTACTTGAAATTTACAGGGCACACTCAATATATTTAAACGCATGGAATGAACTATTTCAAAACTTCGATTTTTTTTTATAGCAAAAAACAAAAAAAAAACGCCTAATTTGCAACTTTTATTTCAAATGTCTATCAAAAATCCAATTTTTTTTATATTCATTTGATTATAGGTCATTCCGTGCTTTTAAGCCTACAAATTAAAACGCCGTTTATTTTTTTTTTCAGATAAGCCGATCAGCCGGAATCGTGGAGGAAGTGGGAGCTCTTTTTTTCGAGGCGGGGGTGTTCAGAGCGCTGTAACTCTAGTTTGACTGAATATTTTTAGCTGAAATTTTATATTTATACTGTCCAAATATGTGTTAGTAAATGATAAAAAACTTAAAGCTCTAAATATTTACTGGTCGTAGAAAAAAAGTCCTAAAATATCCCTAAAAAACAGGCCGTCACATAGGAAGACCCCTTAAAAAATCGATCACGTGATTAATGGACGCACTTAGGCAATTAGGTGGTGATCCGATTTTAAATAGAATCAAATAGGATATTTGTATTTGTTTGCTTGTGTAGACATTGTTTTTCCATTTCTATTCGGTTTAAGTTCGTTTCCTACTCACCTCCCATGACGCCGTACGTGATCATTAGCGTGGTAACTGATCCGCTGAAAGTACTGAGCACGAAGGCAGAACTTGCAATCAAACTTCCCGCTATGCAAACTGCCCTACAGCCGTACTTATTCGTCAGCGCCGACACCACAGGCCCTGAAATAAGAGACAAAGAAATTTAGAAATTTACCATCAGGAACATTCACATTATCATTGAAATATGGCAAAAATTATTGTCATTCTGTTAACAGAACTTAAGGAGTCCTTGAAGCTATTGTGATGACTGCTCAATGATGTAGCTTTATAGATGGCAACCCAACGGTTGTCCTATCTTTATTGATGAGTTTATTAAAAATTTAAATAGTGGTGACTCGGCTGCAGCAATGCCGAGGAAGTGCCATTTTCACTTGGAAACATATTGCTACCTATATTATTGAAGTAAAACCGATGTCACTACTGCATAACATCAGGATGCCCGAGACGAGTATCCAACCTGAAACTTTTTATGATTATAGCTTTAACTGCTAAGTAACGAAAAAAACAACATATATTTTTTTAAGTATATAATTTCAAGTAAAAATTTAGTATCATGTTACTTGATGTCAAGCTAGCAATTAGTGGATGCTAATCTACGTTCTTATCACGGGGCCACGGCTGGTTCATCCTAACCAGTTTGTTTCATCCTAACTTAAGGAGTCTTATGATGACTGTTCAATGACGTAGCTTCATAGATGGCAACACAACGGTTGTCTTATTTTTATTGATAAGTTTATTAAAAATTCAAATAGTGGTGACTCGGCTGCAGCAATGCCGAGGAAGTGCCATTTTCATTTAGAAACATACTGCTATCAAGTGAAAACCAATGACACTACTGCATGACATCAGGATGCCCGAGACGAGTATCCAACCTGATTTTATGCCTATAGCTTTAATTGCTAAGTCACAAAAAGCCAAAAAAGCAAATATATTTTTTTTTACATATATAATTTCGGGTAAAAATTTAATATCATGCTGCTTGATATCAACTGGCAACTAATGCTGGAATAAAATTAGCTCTAACTCAGTGCTGCTTCAATAAAAAATTATCAGAATTATAAAAATTATAATAATAAATTCATCACATGTCGAGGGGGATAGCCGATGTTCTTGATCAGAACATCATCTTTTTCAAGAACAAAATATCTTGTATATTTTGCTTGTTTTTGGTTTATTTTGATTTATTTGAGTGTCTGACCATGATGCCCTGACACCAGTCTTCCCTTGAAATATAGATAGTAAAGTAATGTGTTTCCAAGTGAATAGTTCTAATCCGTATTGCTGCTTCAATAAAATTCTTGAGTATTACGAAGTTGTAATAATAAATTCACCACAGGATAAGGCAACCGTTTGAGTTGCCTCGTCATTAAAAAAGTCAGCACAACAGCTCATGAAAGTCGTTTAGTTTTGGTTGCTGTTAAATTACCACAGGGCTTCTGCTGGTTCATCCTACCAGTTTTTTTTTGACAGAATAAATTTGCATCTTAAAAAACAATTTACGAAATGCTATTTCATCTTTAAGGTTACTTT